TTAACCTCTTGGCGCCAGCCAAACGCAAATGTGCGGCCTCCCGGCATCTGGGCCTTGACACTGAGCGGCTGCACATTTGTGTTCTATTAAAAGAAAAACATACGTGCTGAGAACGCGCGCCCTGCGTGCTCCCAGCACACACGTTCGGTACTCACAGAAAGGTCCCGATCTCCTCTTTCGATCAGGACCGTTCCAGATCATGTGACCACCGTGACAGCAAAACACGGCGGTCACATAACCCTAAAACCCCACCCCGCCTCCCGGCTTCTGGAACACTTAAAGGGTTCCAGCGCCAAGGGGTTAAAATGCTGTACAAACTTGGGTTTATGGGAGAATGATATGTAATGTACAATATAATTGTCTGGTCAACCAGTCCTCCATATGGGACTGCTAACACTCACATGCAGCTGAATACAGCTACAGTATGTTGGGGTTGCTATCTTTATTCCTTTGTGGGGGATACTTGAGTATGCATTAACTTCACTGTAGGGCAATGCATATAGTACATTTAAAGCCTTTTTATTTTAGTTTTGGAGCGGTGAGGGGTTAGAGTTTGTCTTGCTGTCTGGGTCCCTACTAGGGCAGTTCACTCTATATGTCCTGATGACCACAGTCATTGGACTGAAAGTGATAGGGAAATCTACAATTTTGAATTGCACCAGCACAGAAATAGAGGGAAAAATCTTCCAATGGGTCGCCTATCCTGGTGTCTTTTGTCTAAATGGAGACAGATTTCTTCTCACTTCCTGTTGTATCTACAGGACAGTGAGTGAACTGAAATCTCCCCAGTAGGAACACAGATGAACAAAAAACAGGTATTTTAACCATTCCCTATACTGTTTAAAATGAAAAGTTTTCTCTTTAGATATCACTGGAATAATATTGAATTATGTAGTTTGGAAATAAATATTTAGGCATCACATTGGAGGAATGGTATTGCACTCAACAGTCAATAAAACTGCTCCCAAACACTGTGATTTGCGGCAAATGATGGATTTAGTTTTTTTTTTAAAATTTATTATAACTTGTCACCTGGAAAATTAGAAATTAAAGCTCCAGGCTTGGTTCAATGGGGTTGAGTTATTAAAGGCAAATAGACTGTATACTCTGCTAGTGCAGTTGTTCCAGAGCTTAGCAAATGAAGTAAAGTTTCACAAACAATACCCAACCACATGCAAGGAATATAAAAAAACCAGCACTATTGCTTGCATGTGATTGGGCAATGGAAGTCAGCAGAGTGCCCCCTCATTTACTAAGCTCTGGAGCAACTGCACTTGCAAAGTGCACAGTCTATTTGCCTTTAGTAAATTCACCCCATAATGGCTGAATTACTGAGTAAACTGAATGTGTACATAAAGAATCTAATTGCTCATATCTCATTGAGCAGACATAACCTGGTCAAATAATCCAAATTGTTATGTGAGTTTGAGTTCAGACATACTCAAAACGTTCAAGGTTAAACTTGGTTCAGAGAAGCAGTAATCTGAATCATTTGATCCAGTCCAACTCCTGTCGACTCCAATCCTTTTCTTAATCTACACTTTTTTTCTAAATGGGAAATGCTTCTGACTGATGAGTCACCGAACTCCAGTCTCTAAGATTTCCTCTTCAAGAATGTGGCTTTGAAACTCAGAATGTTGCTGTGCAATTCTACTTCTTCTTTTTTTAAATTTCTTTTTACATGAGCTAATGGGAACATACGGAAAGGAATTGTATCTTATCTTATCGTATTATCTTTCTTAAAATACTAATATTAGTGATTGGTTAGTAAATCAGGTATAAAATAAGCTGTAAAAGCTAGTTCTAATAGTGCAGACTAATGGGGCCTGAGATTAGATAGTTTCATTCATACAGACCACCAAATTGAGGAAATGCTGTAACTGCATCAGAACAGGGGGTGTTCACATCTGCACAATGTAACAACAGTCTTGAAAAACTGAGATCCAAATATATTTGAAATGTTCTTTGCAAAATTGATTGTTACTGAAGGTAGATATGTACATTTTAATGGAACTGGAGGGGTCAGTTGACTCAGAAAGCTACAATAGCCACTAAGGCTAGGGGAAGTTAGATGGCATAAAAGCTGACAGTCTCATAAAATCAATTAAAAGTTAAGCAAATAAAAGATAAGATCACTTCCCAGATTTGTATTCTTAAAGCATGAAGTGATCACAGCAGAATTAAATCCAAAGTATCCAAGTATATTTCATCACATTTGAGCTTAGTGGAATAAGCAGAAGAGAAGTAGTAGCCAAAATCATAGAGACAGATTTCAGTGTACATTAGTAGTTATTCTGTAAAACAAAGAAATGTGACTGATAGAGTCTCACATGACATATATAGAGCATTAGCAAGGAGACTGGGAGTTTAGGTGCCATTGTCACATTGTATATGAAGGTATACAAATTGCACAATTCAACAATGGCTGTATTAGAACGACAGTCTATAATCTTTTGGCTGCTGACCGCTTGTGGAATGATATCTGTCAATTAATACTAATATATGGCTTTTCTATAAAAGTAAAGCATTTTATTTACTTAAATAATATAATTGATATTAATTACTGTCACTTTTAAAAAGGTTAAATAGGTTTTATTTTTAAACTAAAATAAATTTGTTAAATGTGTTATTTTTTTTATATATATGTGCATTTTGCATATCGAAACACAATGCCGAATAATGTAGACAACTGAGTATGTGCAAAGTAATTGTATATTATCAAGATACTTTTTAGTAATTGATAAATGGATTAAAAAAATGGTTGGCATGTAAATATTTAAAATGGGAAGTTTATAAATGATTATAAAACAGAAAAATGGAAACAGGTTTTTTTTTTAAAGGACCAATAAAATGCAGGTTGAAGAAAAATGTGGCAAACATAAGAACATAAGGGGAGCGTCCAGCAGAGATACACATGACCTCTTATCTGTGTGAAAATTTTAGGGTGATATTTGCTTAATATATATGAGATATAAATTGGGGAGGCTTATTGGCTGGGAGAAATTCAAGAACTGGAGGGGCTACTTTTGTTCAAATACAATGTGCTACAAAGGTGCTACACATACTTTTAGATTTAAATAATAACTGCGGCTTGACCAAGGTATGTTGTCTTTACATATTCCCACTTCAGCAGGAAGTTAATCATGTGCAATTTCCCTCACTCAGTGGAGGTATCTACGTGTGCTCAGGTCATGTGAGCATGGACTGTGACAGGGAAACCCAATGGTGTATTAAACCTCGCAGTCAGAATAGCTACTCTTCTGGGTTTAAGAACAGTAGCGGAGGTTATCCCCAACAAATGTAGCCATTAATAATTTGTATTACTATTGCCCATACTATGGAATACAGCAGGATATTATCTAATGTAAGTTTATATCGAATGAAGCAAATTAATATATGAGTGCATATTATAGTGACTTAATGTATAATGAAGTCATGCTGCTATTAAAGTTAGACTGCCCCCTAAAAAAATGTCTTTATTATACAGTTATTATCTATCTGCATATTATAGTGACTTAATGTATAATGAAGACATTCTGCTATTAAAGTTAGACTGCCCCCTAAAAAAATGTCTTTATTATCCATCTGCATATTATAGTAACTTAATGTATAATGAAGACATTCTGCTATTAAAGTTAGACTGCCCACTAAAAAAATGCCTTTATTATCCATCTGCATATTATAGTAACTTAAGGTATAATGAAGACATTCTGCTATTAAAGTTAGACTGCCAACTAAAAAAATGCCTTTATTATACAGTTATTATCCATCTGCATATTATAGTGACTTCATGTATAATGAAGACATTCTGCTATTAAAGTTAGACTGCCCCCTAAAAAATGTCTTTATTATACAGTTATTATCCATCAGTTGTTACAGAGTTACCAGAACCAAATCTTTTTCTGAGGCTTCCCAGGCAATTGGAAGCTCTGCCAAGACTCCATCATGGAGTTTTAGGGATGCCATCCTCTGAGGTTTCAACTTGGGTCAGGTATGTTGAAAGCTGTCTAATGCTTTATACATTGTGAACTCCCTCCTAACCATACTGCCCCATTTGGGATCACGATTAATAAATATGTCACCATTCTAGGAGTGCTTAAAGGGCAGATTAAATGTACTCTTAGATTGTAAGCTCCAAGGAGCAGGGCCCTCCTAACCCTCTTGTATTGAACTGTATTGTTGCTGTCAGGGGCAGACTGACAACTCATGGGGCCCGCGGGCAGTAGGGGATCATGGGGCCCCTGTGTCCTTGCCCAAACTCAAAAAAGTCTATGAAAAAGGTACCAGGGGCATCTCATGGGGTCCCCTACTGACCCCGGGCCTTCGGACAGTGCGTGAGTTTCCAAATGGTCAGTCCACCCCTAGTTGCTGTATTATCTCCCTTTATATTGTAAAGCACTGAGAAAACTGTTGGCGCTATATAAATCCTGAATAAAAATAATAATGTTCTACCACTATACTAGTTCAATGTAGGTTTTCCTTATATAAATAATTTGGAACACAACACATTACTTTTAGAAATCATAGGTAGTTAGTAAACAGCAAAAAAGAAAAAAAATGCAGATGAAATAATGGAAGCACACGCCTAGCTTGCTTGCAGGAGGAATACAGTTCTGTTTTCCCTTAGAGTTCTTGTGTAGCACAGTGCTAAGGGGTGCTGCTGCACATTTTATGCTTGATCTCAGCCAGCATCATACTCTAAAATTTCCCTCAGGCGCTCCCTTTTCTTCACATACTCTATTCCTTTCATTTACACTCCATTTGTTACTAGTTCTGTCAGTATGCATCACAATTCATACATCACGCTATTACTGTTTACATGGTTTGCTTAGCATTGCAGGTGGATGTAAAAAAACTCCAGTTTGTAATACATTAAAACGACATTGCTCCTGTTTGAGGCCTGCGCCATACCATCTATTTAGCTGCAATGGTCAGTCTAACGTATTTTTGAACTAATTACCGTGCGATACTCAAAGCCAATATACAATCATCCAACTTACTTTCAAAATCCAGAAAAAAATGTGGACAGTTCTCTAAATCTTTTCCCAAAACTTTAATAAGATTTCCCATGACCCGTCGACCTGAAAGAAAGAAGAAAAGATGTCAGAACAGCCAGTAATTTGTACATATACATTTAGGACACTTCTGACTTCCCCAGTGATATGGAGAGTGACAGGTGCTTGGTTGTCCTGTACTAATATACACATACACATAAAATATATGAGCTGCACATATACCCCAATCTTACATGTTTCTGCAGACGCAAGATTCTCTAATACTTTATACGCGGAAATGTAGCTTTTGGTGTTACCACTTCTGTTTTTGTCTATTTCTGAGCAGCAGAAGGAAGCTGCTAGTCAGTTTGTATTCCTCACACTTCCTGTGTAAGAGACAGTAATCAGCTCATTTTACATATCTGTGCTGATATGCATACACCTTACTAAGAGACTGTATGAGGCTTCTTTCAAGACATGGAAATGCTTTCTCAGGTTTCGTGCAGTAGCTTATAAACTAAATGTGGCCCTATGCATGGGTAATATTAATATTGCATTCAAACATAAATATTAATCACACTCCAAAACGTAGCTCATCTTTCTAAATTTCATTTGTCAAAAAATAAAACTGCATACACTAATGTCTCCACCTGACACAACCTTCCTTGACGCCGTTCACCACTGCTGGTTTGCTCATGTAACCTATTGAAATGTTATTATTTGCAGTAAATTAAGATGGACATTAAAGACCTGGCAACCTACCCTGTAAAATAATTGCTAAGAGAATTCATGGAAAACGTTGCTTACGAGTGACGGTCCATGCAATCGCCAAGGGTCGGATACGACTGAATGGATAGATGGATACCACCACTTCATTCCCCACAGCCATTTCCTCCTGTACCACTTTCCCCTCCCTCCTAGACTGTAAGCTCGAAAGAGCAGGGCCCTCGAACCCCTCGTGTTTTGTATTGTTTCTGTCTTGTCTCATGTTCTGTCTCCCTTGCTATTGTACAGCGCTGAGCAAACCCTTTGGCGCTATATAAATACTGTGTAATAATAATGATAAATAGATAGATAGATAGATAAGATAGAAGAAGATGGACATTAGATGGTGGTGGCCTGCCATTCAGGGTCACTCACATGGACAGAACAGCCCTCTGGAATTTGTATGCTAAATAGCAGGACTCAGCTGGTGAGCAGGGTGGTCAGGAACTACGTTTCCCATGAAAGGTAGTGTGTGTGCGCGAGGGCATATAAATATCAAAGCCTTGGAGATTGGCTAGGAGAGTGCAGGGAGAGACTGATGGAGAAGGAGGTGTGCTGACAGCTGAAATCCTCAACTAAGCCGCAGAGCCAGGGTTGGAGAGAGGAAAAAGCGGAAAGAGCCATCTGCCACTCTGTCCAGCAGGTGAATCTGACAGCAGGAGACCAGATGGGATGCCGAGTCTGAACCAGAAAGTCAGTGGACTGACCCAGTCTGCAGGGAAAGACGGACCACTACGATCTGCTATGATCATGTGAGAGAGACCCATGCACCCACTAACCGAGTGAATACTGACAGTTTGCCACCTCAGCTATCTATCTACACATAGTTGTGAACATTACATACAGTTGTCCCAGCTTGCGGTCTAGTTCTCTCAGCCACCATCTTTGGGATACATCTGCATTACAGTTGATACAAGCCAACCGCAGGACATACAGTTGCAGGCCAGGATACAGCAGTGCCAACTAAAACAACAAGTTCTCCCCTTTCCAACTAAGCAGGATCCCTACTACTGTTCATTTTGCATTTCATATTCAGAGGGTGTTGTCTTTTGTTCATAGACACTATAGCCAATTATTGCTATTCATTACTTCAAGCCTGCCCTATGTTTAGTGCTTTACAGGAAACCCTGCACTAATTCACTATCACCAAGAGGAAAAGTGTTGCCATCTTGAGGAACTATTATCCACTCCTCAACTCAACTTCATACCAACTGGGCCGCAACAAGCATGCAGAAGACACTGTAGTGTTCTTAAAGGAACATTGCTCAATTCCAAATGGGAATTCTCTTTACTTCACATCTAATTCTTGTTGTCTATTTCTGGGGACCCACAGTGAGCTTATTTGTTTCTTGATAGTTGTTCCTGCTCATTGGGGATTCAGCAGTCCCCTCAAATTGGAGGCAGTGAATTATTTCTGAAAGCAAGCCTGCTAACAGTTATTGTTGCTTCAATGTGAATTTTGTTACGTTTGTTCATAACTCCCAAGAGTGATTATATTTGCTGCATATATAACAGAGTCATTTTGTTATTTATGACCAAGTTACCCTTAATTCCAATATAAACTTCACATTTGGTTTATACTAACTTGTGTGTGAGTCCATTTTTAACAGTTGTGACTTATTTTGGTCATAAGAGCATGGTGTCAGCAGAGGTTGGGCTTTCAGCAAGTGGTCCAGATTGACAGGGAACCCAAAAATTACTATACAACCCTTAAGGGGGTAGTGCTACACTCACAAGGATCGGGGAAACATCCCCGATCCTTGTGAGCAAGCCATCAATGGTGAAACGTGTCAAAGAAGGTGGTTCCAGCTGGAGACATTAATGTACAGTATGCAGTTTTTATTTTTGACGAATTAAATATAGAAATAAGAGTGAAGTTTTGGATTGTGGTTTATATTTGCTTTTGACTGAGAGTGGAGATGGGCCGTGGTAATCAGCACCTGGCTAGTCCGTGTGGGTTGAAAGGAGCAAGTCTGGAGTGGGGCCATGGGTTTGTGTATATTCCTACTGATATTGTTTTACTATCCATAATATTATTTAAGCATTAACTGCTTTACACAGTTACCCACGATAAATACTTAGTGGCCACCCCTAAGTCTAACAAAGTCCGATAAATTGGATGCCACTGGGGAAAGGTTTGTCCAGACCTGTAGAAATAGAGAGAGATATCCCGGCCACCGCACACCTCACCCGGTCCAAGTGCTTAGCAGGTAAAAGCAGCCTCAGCTCAATTCATCCAAGCCATGTCCCCAACATGTTTGCCCCACCCCCGGGGCTTAATCAACTCGGTCATCGATCACTTCCTATTTCTTCAGCGTGTTTTGCACAGTTGTTATGAAACCTTTTGAATGGCAGCTGCTTTGTGTAGAGTATGCCTCACTAAGAGTGAATCTTCCTACTCTGACTTGAATTTATTTAAAATAGACCTAAACTCAAAAAGTGAAGATTTTCTGTCTTGGAATGGAACATCTAGAAACATTAATTGTGCCTAAGCCATACCCCTGAACATTGTTCCTTTTTGTCTTGAATTTGTCCTGAAAAAATCAGTGCAATACCTAGTATGTGTGTGTGCCTAGGCACTATTCTGTAGCCTTATAGCTGTATAAACTGCAGTGTTAGATCATCTAAAACACTACTGGCTCCAAATGTCTCATTAGACTAGGAGTGAGATTTGGTGATACCACTTCTGTGCTGTTCATTGTTCTCATGAGGACTTGCTTCGGAGGAAGCTGTAGCTGAAGACTGGCAGAACAAGGATCACCCTGCTTCTGCGTCATTCATTATGTGGATCTCTGCTTTCTGCACCTCTGCTGTTTCTTGAATATTACCCTAGCAGTCATCAGGTCACTAGTCATCACAGGGGCAACTCTGATATGAGGAATGAAAGCCTATTCCTCTACCAAGATGGTTCCATGGTTACTCCACATAGAGACACAATGCAGAACAAAGCATGAAAAGTCAGTAATGGGGAGAAAACTCACCTGCAGGGAGTATACGGGCAATATTGTCGAATTAGCTCTATTTACTGTGTCTGCTGTTTCTGGGCACAGATTCCACAGTACAGGTTATCTCTGAAGATCATGGAGTTTCATGGAAAATGGCAGCAAGCTCAGAGACCATTGATTAGAACTCTGCGCTGCCTATGTATGCACACAGCTAAACCTTACCAGAGGATAGACTAATACTGCTCATGTCCATGGATCCAACAGCTTACAATATGTGAATGACAATCACAATCTAAAGAAAAACCTTTGTTTTAGGCTAACGGTAAAATCTTATGATCTTGAAAGGACCAAAGTGCAAAGTTTACCTTAGCAGTTTTGATTGAGTATTCAGGATTGTATGGAAATACTACGATATGTAAGATAATGGAACTCACTACCCCAATCCATCAGACTGTCACCTACCCTCCTCACCTTTAGGCGCACCCTGAAAACCCATCTCTTCAGGGAAGCCTACCCCACCCTCACCTAACTGCCGATCTCCTCCACTCCTCCTACCACTCCATCCCCCAAAGCCACTTCCTCCTGTGCCACTATCCCCTCCCTCCTAGATTGTAAGCTCGAAAGAGCAGGGCCCTCGAACCCCTCATGTATTGTTTTGTTACTGTATTGTCTCATGTACTGTCCCCCACTATAATGTACAGCGCTGAGCAAACCTTTTGGCGCTATATAGATACTGTATAATAATAATATTAATAACAATGCAAAAATGTAATTTTGTAACACTAACTTGAGTATTTGCTTTATGTTAGGGAAACACTGCACTCAGGAAACGCTATAAAGTACTTTCTATAGTTTTAACAAAAAGTGAATTCCATGCTCATTGCGATTTTCTGAGTACACAGCATAAAAAACATCTGTTTGTTCTAATGCTGCTTATCTACACATTTGACAGATTTTTCTGTGTATTTAAATAGTGGTAAGATCATTTCAGAATTATTTAATATTACAAGGAAACCGATACCCACTGATCTCAGAATGTGATGAAGCTCTAAGGCAGCGGTTCTCAACCTGGGGGTCGCGACCCCTTTGGGGGTCGAACGACCATTTCCCAGGGGTCGCCTAAGACCATCGAAAACACATATTTCCGATGGTCTTAGGAACCGAGACACCGCTCCTCTCTCCGGCGATGTGTGGGCGGGATGATACGCTGCTCCTGTCACCTGGCCACACCTCCGGGATCGCTCAGCAGCTCCGCCTCCTCGCCGCTGATTGGCCACCGGAACTGTAGCTCAGGAGAGGCACACAGGCGGCCAATCACCGGCGAGGAGGTGGAGCTTGGAGAGGAGGAGCCGAGCGGCAGAGCGCG